AGAGAGAGTAAGAGAGAGAGAGAGAGAGAGAGAGAGATAGGATCTTGACACTCCAAACCACTTCAGCTTTAGCCAGCCATTTTCTCTTCTACATCTGAGATTCTATTTTCTGAATGATCTAGTCTGCTTTTAATACTTTCAAGGGAGATTTTGACTTCTTGTATTATAGACTTCATCTCTAGCAGTTCCGTTTGAGTCTTTTGTAAAGTGTGTAATTCCTCTTAGATCTTGCAAGAATTTCCTCATCTCCTGGAACTCGTCAACTTCTTTCTCCTTTCTCTTTAGCAGTTCATTATCTCTCTTCTCTTCCATCTCTGTTAGCTTCGCCATTATGAATGCTCTAAATTCCTTATCAGACATTTCCATGATTTTCACCAAACTGCTTGTGGATGAAGAAAAGTTACTCTTTTCCCTTGGAGGAGAGGTATTTTCTTGTTTTCCCATATTTCTCGTGATCTGGTGGTGATTTCTTGTCATCTGATGGATGGTGTGTTTCTTTCAAATTCTTGAAGTTCAGCCTGAATGATCAGGAGCAAGCAGAAAGAGGTGATCTAGAATCTCTTTGCCATTCTGTTGTGATCGCTGGTGCAGCAGATTCAGTAGATATTGAGGAATATTTTAACCCTATTAGTATTTGGATGTTCAGCTACAGTGCTCTTAGATCCGTCGCTAGCTCATTTGCTGGAGGCTGAATTATCAGTAGAAAATCTTCATTCCCTGCAATACCTAGTTTGCTGGAGCCATGTGGAACCTTCTTCTGAAGGCCTGGCCTCTTCTGCCGCTAGCTCGTTTGCTGGAGGCTGAATTATCAGTAGAAAAATCTTCATTCCCTGCGATACCTAGTTCGCTGGAGCCATGTGGAACCTTCTTCCCGCTACATGTTCGGCTTGCTTTCCCTCTCCCTCTTTGACCTTCTCTGTCTCTCTTACTCCAGTGACTGGGCCGTTTTGGGTTCTTCTGAGAAAGGGGTGGAGATGGCGCACATCTGTGGGTCCTCAGCGAAGCTTGCCAGTGCTCTGCCATACGTATTCTTTTCAGTGAAACGTCTGTGCAAATCTTTCGTTCATTTTTTTTTTCGATTGGGCTGTCTTTTTCATTGTTGTTACAAGTCATAAGAGTTCTTTACATATTATGATACAAGGCTCTCTCTCTCTCTCTCTCTCTCTCTCTGTCTCTGTACGCCAAGAGATAAAGGAAAATGCACTGAGAGAAAGAGAGCGTGGGGGTCTGAAACCGGAGGTGCCTCAGCCGCCCCACCGAGGAGCCGGGTGTATTTCTGTGGAGGGGCAGGGCCACCAGAATGGCAGGTACCGTGATTACCTTCCCTGCCACCATGGCCTTATCAGCCGTGTCTGGGCGTGGACTGCCCGGAAGGGAGGACGCTGGCCAAAGGTCCCTGCAACCATCTCCTTATTTTCTGACAGGAAATTATCTAAAGGCTGCTCGGGAGCTAACCTAACATTCCCAGCCTTAATCTTTTATATAAAAAAAAGATGGGGTGCAGGCAGGACAAGGAATTACAGGTGCTCGCTAGACAGACAGAGAGACAGAGAGACAGAGAGACAGAAAGTGAGAAATCACCCCCCAGGGGGGATGGCCACGCCGCAATCCCTTCTCCATTCTCCTCTCGGGATCTTGGGCACACACGCACACGTGCCTGGTGTGAGTTTAAGCCACCGGGTCTGGGACTCAAACTGCAGTCGACTACGTGGGAGTCCAGCGACATAGCCATCACGCTAACTGCTGGTTCCATGCACCAGGTTCAGCCTGTTTGGAGCTGATTGTTGGAGGGTGTCTTGAGGAAGTGGTTTGGCATTTTTCAGGGAGGAGGTCTGGGAGAAGTGGTGACAGAGAGAATTCCCTGTGGCTCGGCCAGTGCAGTGGAGCCAGATCCAGTGGTGGGGCCTGCTGGTCTGAGG